GCCCCCTCACTCAGCTCCCCTGCCTGGCTCCCCCTTGAATATGTAGTTTGGCTTTTATCCATCTTCATTAGGAAGAGAAGAAAATTAAGCTCATCTGCACAGGAGGAGGGGGTGGAGGTGCAATGGGAAAATGGGTTTTCTTCCTCTAGAAGAAAAAATATCCCCTTTCCCTTCAAGCTGAGCTCAGGGGCCTCCGACAGCCTTTGCTTAAGTTGCAAGTTAAATTACTTCTCCGGTGCCCAGTGAGGACAGCACAGGGAGTAGGAATGAAGGCTCAAGGGTTTGCCCTGCCTGTGGAGAGCCCTGAAATCCTCAGGGTGACGTCCACACACCACACCCAAAACGCCTAGCTGGGGTTCTTTTCTTCGGCCACTAAATTGCATAGAATGGGAGGTTTCCATTCTCTGGGACAAAGGGACATCATTTCCCAAGGACAAATGGTTATGAATACATCTCCAAATGTACCTCTCAAATGCCACCCAAGGAAAGGGAGAGTCTCAGGCAGTAAAGGAGAATTGGGGATGGAGGCAGGAACATCGCTGCACTCCTAGGATGCCCACTAGGTGTTCACCTTGCCCACTGTACCTACAAAGGTGGCCCCGATGGTAATGCCATCAGCGGAGAGAGAAGGGGCAGGACCAGATTTCCGTCCGAGATTCAACCTGAATTAGCACTTTGATTTGACCTCTTTGGCCTTTAGTTTTCCCATGGGCACATGAGAAACCTTCTAATTCTATATGAAATAATAGCTGTAAACTTCGAAAATGTGACATGTGAAATGTTTTATGCATTAGAGATAATGGTTATGATCATTTTGCTTAAAAACAAATCAAGAAATATGCCAGGTGCTGGAGCTAGAAAATGAAATCACACGGTGTCAGGCTTAAAAAGGCTGTGTATGGGGCAAGGGGTGGGCAGGGCAGGAAGGGGCTGGCATTCCAGAAGTGCCAAGACCGATAAATGACAAAGAAAAGAGGCAGCTCCTCTCTGCTTTCCAGGCATTTGCCTCTCCATCTAGTTGGGGCTTTTCTACAGTTCAAGAGACACTCTCAGCTTCTAAGTCCTAGTGATAGCCTCACTGCAGAGATAACTGTATACTGATTCCTCACCAAGCATATCCTCCCTGAGAATGAGCATCTGTCTGCAGTGATATCTAGCCGTATGCAGTCAAAGGAGCAAATTCAACCTGCGTCTTCACGACCCTTTTCAGGCATGCATGTTTGCACATGCACGTGCACGTACACACGCACACCCAAGCTGGACACCCAGAGCTCCCACTGTGATAAATATTAAACAAGTAGAGAAAGACACTCAACCCTGCCACCCCTGAACCCCTCTTGGTTATCTGCCATACACCAAGCTGCTTCATTTCCATAGCTCCTGAGAATCTGCCGACACAGAAGTAGCCCTGGCCAGGCTTCCCCGGCCTGAGAACGCTTTGGCTTCTGGCATTACAGCTCGTTAGATGGAGAGGGGACAGCGAGGGGAGTGGGAAGGAGGGCTGCCTACGGCCCATCCCTCCCACTTCCTTCCAGCTAGCCAATTCCAAGCCAAAACTGTCCCCACTCCAGGGAGGATTTCTGCTGCCAACAGAGGAGGGGAAGGTGGGGAGAGGTTTGGCTCCTGCTCTCCCCCTCCCCCTCTGGGTCTCATCATTATTTTCAAGGCACTTTATCTGCTCCGGCATTCTGTCCCAATTAAAAACCAGCTCGGTTTACAGTTCCAACAATCCTGATGTGTCTGGTTCCTGGAGCTCTCCCAGTCATTCCTAGGAAAACATACCCCCCTTCCCCCCCAAGCCAACGTCTCTGTGCCAGAGCCCCTCTGTCCGACTACTGCTGCACACAGATAAAAGGCCTGGTGAGTCAGGCCCTGGTGGCAACTCGAGGTATTTGCAAGTGAGACGGAGCACCTCTAAAGACATAGTAGTCTGCTTTCCATTTGCTGTCTCCAGATCAAAACACCAGTTCGGCTGGCACTCGGGGGGCCCAGCTGCCAGCCTTGGACTTGCAGTTGCTCTCGTCTCCTCTCTGTCCTGGCCTCACCCAGGCCACAGTAATTCCCAAAAGGGCAAGAAGAGGGTGGGGATCCTCCCTCAGGCAAGCTTGGACTATCTGAAAACGCTAGGCTTCTGGACTAAGTGTGTAGGAGCTAAGACCCACGCTGCTGTCTTTCCTGCCTAATTCTGCCTGTCTTCACACACACGTCTCCACCCCCAGGGCCAAAACACATTTCCTTACCCACGATGGCCAGTCATGGAATACTGGGGAAGGTCACCCTGAGCCGGGCCGCCACATCAGACAGAAAGCAGAAGAGCTGGCTCAGGAGCCAAGGGATGGAAATCAAAAATCAGAGGCCAGGTCCAGGTTTCCTCCCTTCCATCCTGTATGGAAATCCTTCCCTATCTCTCAGCCTGTTATCTCCTAGCCCCTGCCCCGGGCCTCTAGGCCCCTTTTACTCCTATAATAGAAGAGAAGGAAGCCTAAGGCAGCAGGAGGGTCTGTGCAGTCTTTAGTCAGGGTAACAGCTCCGTGTGTGTGTGTGTGTGTGTGTGTGTGTGTGTGTGTGTGTATAAATGTGTGTCTATGTGTGTGTAAATGTGTGTATGTGTGTCTATGTGTGTGTAGTGGTATGTATATAGTATGTGTGTTTATGTGTGTATGTTGATGTGTATGTGTCTATGTGTGATATGTATATTGTATGTGTATAGTCTGTGTGTAGCATGTATGTATATATGTATGTGCGTATATGTTATGTGTGATATGTGTGTGTCAATTGGATATCTATTGTGTGCAGTATGTGTGTGCATGTGTAATATGTATGCGTAGTGTGTGTCTATGTAAGTGTGTACGTGTCAATGTGTGTAGACATGTGTCTATGTGTGTAGACATGTGTCTATGTGTGTGTCTGTGTAACGTGTATTTATGTGTGTAGTGTTATGTGTATATGCATGTGTGTGGCAATGTGTGTGGACAGGGGGAATAGAAATCTCTCTCAGCGGAACTTCATGGGGAATCTTCACGCTGATCTTCTTCCTAGCATGGACTGTCTTATCTTTAAGCTGACTGTTTTATGAATTCCATTTGTATTCTGAAAAATGAAGATAATCAGGGTAGATATTCAGCCTAGCCATGTCAGTTATTAAAATGGGGAACTTCTTCCTTGTTGGACGGTAAAGAGCTGTCCCACCAGGCCGCTCGAGTGCCCCCATCCCCTTCTCTGGCCGGTGCCTGGGCCCTCCCCGAATCTGTGATTCAGACACACCACAGGGCCCTCCAGGACTCCAGGCCCGAGTCCTTCCTGGTGGATAAATTGTTGAATGTCATTCCTAGGACAGCCATTCCTTAACTATCTGAACACAGACATCTCTTCAAGCGTGAAGAACTATGGTTCTGGGGCCCAGAGGTTGTCCTGGGCAGGATGAAGGCATTTCTCCCTTACCCTCCCTGCCCCAACCTGGAGAGCTGGGCCAACCCAGCTCCCTGGGGCTCCTCACACTCCTGTCCTCCTGTTTTTGTTTTGTTCCCTGTGGAGAGGAAAGGGAAATGAAAGAAGGAGAAAAAGGAGCTGCCTGGGGCTCCAGCTCCATATTTTGCTTCTCTCAACCTTCTCCTGAGTGGCCCCCAGCTAAACCAGATAGAAGCGGGATGAAGGCTCCGGTCCCCTCCCCTCAGCCTCCAAGTTGCTTTCTCCTGACAGTCAGCAACAGGGAAAGAGTCCCAAGAGACAGTGGGGCAGGGCAATAATTAATTACCCTCCTCCCCCAGCTCTGAGCCCAGTCCCAACCCCCTACCCTTCAGAGGCTGAGGCAGCCCAGCTGTCCACACTTCCAGGCCTGTGGAAGGTCACTGGAACCAGCTCTCTTCATTCCTAGCTCAGCAAATTTGGGTCTGGTGTCCCACAGAGAGCAGTGACCCCACCCCACCCTGCAGGGAGGAATTTTACAAAGTAAGTGCTTGTCTGAAGCTGGGCTGTTTTCCCTCCTTCCACACCCTCAAAAGCTACAAATACTTTTTTGGCTCCCAATCTGGCAATTTGCAAGGGTCAAGCTCTTCTGTGCCTTAGTTTCCTCATTTTAAGAATGAAACAATGGTAATAAGTGATGCCTTGTTCAGGAGAAAACATAAATTTCCCACCAGACTAGACAGCAGAGGAAGAAAGGTAATGATGCCACGACGGGTTACGGAACTAAGGGATAAATCAAGCTCACATAAGTGGTCTCTGGTCCTCGCATTGGGAGGAAGGCAAGACCCATCTCAGAATCAGGGAAGCTGAGGTCCACTGCCCCAGCTACAGTGACAGGAGAGACAAGACAACGTTCCCATCTCCTTGGTTGTCCCCAGTCCCTTCTATATGCCCAACCTGAGCTCCTTGTCTCTAGGAAAGAAGGGAAGAGAGCTTCATGAGTCAGGGTGATTTCAGCTGCCCAGCCTGCTGCAAGGACACAGGGATGAAAGCCACAGACCCGCTCACTCATAAGCCCTGTGGGCATAAGTCTGGGGACTGTGTGTGATGTGGGGTAGGGGTACTGCCGAGGTGCAGAGGTGCGGAGGGACAGCCACAGACACACTGCTTACAGCCTGGCCTTCTTTATCACTGGGCCCTGGCTAGCACCTCACACCCAGCAGGAAATGAATGGCTGTCTGATGGAGTGGCTGTAGAGGCAGGCCAGTGGTCTGCTTTGGGATGTTGAATGAGAGAGGCAGAAGAGCTCAGCCTCAAATCCCTCTCACTGGGTCCCACGAACAGGTTCCATGTGCTCCATGGCCCCTCCTCTCCCCGCCCGCTCCTTACTGGCCAGCTAGACTCTGATAAGAGTCTACAAAGCAGAGGCTGTGTCTGGGGAAGAGGAGAGCAATAAATCAATGGGAGTGGGAGAGCAGAAGCCTGAGTGACTGCTTCTGGAGGAAGGAGCTCCACCTCAAGGGGTGGCATGGGGTGGGGGTACAGAGGAAGGTGGGATGGCAGTAAAGCTCTAGGGCAGGGTTGCTCCTCACCTGCCCAGGACATAAGCCTGCCCCGGTGCCCCCAGGGAGGCTCAGCTGCTTGTCCCTCCTAGACCGACAGTAACGGGCCAGCGGGGACTCACGCGGATTGTGGAAAGTTATGAACCCCTCCTTTGCCAGGACTGGGGAGTCTGGAACTTCCCATGTACTTGGGGAGCTTGCCAAGGGCCCCAAGGGCAGAAGAATGTCCTGGATTGCTGTCTGCTGTAGGGAGGGTCCAACAGGAGCTTGGGGACAAGGACCACCAGTGGAACCAGCCAGAAAACAGCTATGCCTGCGGAGAGTCCTTGTCGTCCTCCCCCGCTGGACTGAAGACAACCACTGTGACCTCCTCTGACATCCCGGAGCGGACGAGTGAGATCTGGAGAGGGAAGGACTTGGGAGAACTTGTGAAGAAAGCTGTCCGATGAAGACAAAGAACAGACGGAGCGCTGATTATCTTTAAGGAAAAGAGGGGGAGCCTCCGTGGCTACCCAGCTCTTGTCTTTTACCTTTNAGGGGGCCACTGTGCATTTATTTCTTAAAATCTTCCCAGATGCGATATGATAATTTCCAGCTGGCGACTGTCAGGTCTGCTCAAGGGCAAGGAGGTCTGCATCGGCGTTTATGCCCCTAACCTCTCCGGACGCCGAACATGGTCAAATGTCCCCTTCTAATGCCTTCCATGACTTAGGGTCCTTGGATTGCCAGGGCCTCTGAAGGTCATCTCTTCCATCCACCTGCCTCCAAACAAGCACACTGGCTCTCCAATCAATCGCATTAAGTGCCTTGGTTGTTTGTAAAGTGTTCTAGCAAAGCAAGGCTCCAGACCCACTGTTACCTTATACTGCCAAGATGTTCTTTTTGATACCAAATTTCAGTTCTTCTGGCTTTCAAGATTATTCCATTTTTGTCTTAGGATGACAGACTCCTTTCTGACTAACGTGATTCCTTTTAGCAGCGCCAGGCATTCTGTTGACATCATAGTCTGTTGTTATGGCAATTCTGTGACATCACAACAAACACCGAAAGGGAGGGGCTAATCTAATGTTTTGGATGGAGGACAGAACTCCATCAGAGAACAATGCAATCAGTGAACGGAAGAGCAAATGGACCACATTATTATTTAACCCATGATGAGACAAGCTGCTCAGACATAGCTGGGGGTCAACAGCTACTGATATTTAAGCAACTAATCCTAAATCCAAAAGGTAAATATATTCAGACATTTAGTGGTACTTTTGCAAATTCTTTGTCCTGGTGACAAGAGGCTGCAGTTTCCAGATGCCACACTCTCCTTGTCCCTAGTCCAGTTACCTGAGCCCTGCTATGATTATGGAGAGCTGGGCCCGCTCCTGATGCACACTTGAGGTCTCTGCCTGTGCACAGTAAGGGGCTCAATAAATATTTGTTGAATGAATGGGTGAATGAATGAACAAAAGAAACTCTCCATGTTCTGGTTTAATTTTTAGCTATCTGCATTTGGAGTTTAACATTCTACTACCAAGGGCTTCCCTATCTCTGCTCTCTCTTAAAATTAATTACTTCCTCTCCGTGAGAGAAGCTGTTTCTGCCCCCTCGCCCCCTCACTCAGCTCCCCTGCCTGGCTCCCCCTTGAATATGTAGTTTGGCTTTTATCCATCTTCATTAGGAAGAGAAGAAAATTAAGCTCATCTGCACAGGAGGAGGGGGTGGAGGTGCAATGGGAAAATGGGTTTTCTTCCTCTAGAAGAAAAAATATCCCCTTTCCCTTCAAGCTGAGCTCAGGGGCCTCCGACAGCCTTTGCTTAAGTTGCAAGTTAAATTACTTCTCCGGTGCCCAGTGAGGACAGCACAGGGAGTAGGAATGAAGGCTCAAGGGTTTGCCCTGCCTGTGGAGAGCCCTGAAATCCTCAGGGTGACGTCCACACACCACACCCAAAACGCCTAGCTGGGGTTCTTTTCTTCGGCCACTAAATTGCATAGAATGGGAGGTTTCCATTCTCTGGGACAAAGGGACATCATTTCCCAAGGACAAATGGTTATGAATACATCTCCAAATGTACCTCTCAAATGCCACCCAAGGAAAGGGAGAGTCTCAGGCAGTAAAGGAGAATTGGGGATGGAGGCAGGAACATCGCTGCCCTCCTAGGATGCCCACTAGGTGTTCACCTTGCCCACTGTACCTACAAAGGTGGCCCCGATGGTAATGCCATCAGCGGAGAGAGAAGGGGCAGGACCAGATTTCCGTCCGAGATTCAACCTGAATTAGCACTTTGATTTGACCTCTTTGGCCTTTAGTTTTCCCATGGGCACATGAGAAACCTTCTAATTCTATATGAAATAATAGCTGTAAACTTCGAAAATGTGACATGCGAAATGTTTTATGCATTAGAGATAATGGTTATGATCATTTTGCTTAAAAACAAATCAAGAAATATGCCAGGTGCTGGAGCTAGAAAATGAAATCACACGGTGTCAGGCTTAAAAAGGCTGTGTATGGGGCAAGGGGTGGGCAGGGCAGGAAGGGGCTGGCATTCCAGAAGTGCCAAGACCGATAAATGACAAAGAAAAGAGGCAGCTCCTCTCTGCTTTCCAGGCATTTGCCTCTCCATCTAGTTGGGGCTTTTCTACAGTTCAAGAGACACTCTCAGCTTCTAAGTCCTAGTGATAGCCTCACTGCAGAGATAACTGTATACTGATTCCTCACCAA